ACTTTCTTTGTTAATATCAGAAAAAAACAAAATCACCACGTTGTTCAGAAAAAATAGCTATCGGTTGGCCAAAACGTTTTTATATAAATAATATTTATGAAGCTTTTATTCTTGTATAAATATTTTTTACAAAAATGTGCTCATTTATAAGAAACCATAATTTGGTAATAAGTAGCTGTAGATATTTTATTTTTTTAACCATTTTTAAATGACATTGAAATTGAAATCTTTTCAAATAACTTTGTGACACCTTAGAAACGACATTCAAAGTTGTTAATTTTTACCAATATTTTCTTGTATTTCTTATATTTCTTGTCGTTACTAGTAAGTGTATTTTCTTGTCAATAATAATGTATTTGTAATGTAGTTATGTAGTATTAATAGAGCTCAATAAAATAAAACAAAAATTTTAGAGACTTTTTAACCTTTAATTTTATTGCTCATTACATTAAATTAATTGTCATAATAATTAAACTCAGACATAATCACAACTTAACAATTCTCTCCGACTTCTCCCACAACTTTTTCGCGACTCCTTCATCACGTGCCGTTTTGTACGTCTCAATCCTTTTACATTCAGCGAAAAGCTCGCCATTCCATTTCTCGATTCCTTTCGCAACAGAACAATAAATTGTAGTCTGTGCCCCTTCTTCAGGATTCTGAAACCACACTTTAATTTTTTCAACACCAATAAATATTTTCTCTTACTTTGGACATGGTATTCATCATGATAGCAAATGCTACTTTTCTTAAACCTGTCAAATTATTAGTAATATCAGTTTTGATAACTCCCGGATGGAGGGAATAGACCGTAACTCCCGTCCCTTTCAGTTTTTTCGCCAACTCTTGAGTGAAATAAATATTGCACAATTTTGAATTGTTGTAATCGTCAGAGTCTGAAACGTGTTTTTCGATTCGGTTGACGTCGAATTTGGTGGCCAAACCGGCCGCTAAAGAGGACACGTTGACGATGCGACTAGGGGCCGACTTTTTCAGCAACTCTGAAAATTGTTATTTATTAATAATTTTTTTGATTTTTTTATTTCTTGACATTGAAAAAATTAAACAATTATTTTAATCCCGAGAATGTAGGTAACGCCAGAGGCGACAGAAACGAGCCGAGGGCATTTTCGTCCAAGAGATATATTAACGTTTTTTTTTCTCGCAACAGACTAAATCATAATAATAACTTAAGAAAATAATAAATTTGCCAATTTGTCAAATAATTTGTCAAAATATTCAGTTCATTCAATTGCAAACTTAAAATCACCAAAAAACACTAAAAGATTCAATTCATTCAATTTCAGTTTATTGTAAGTGTAAAAATCGGTATTTCATGATTGGTTAAAGATTAATTTCTAACATAATTTTAGTTGGAGAAAATCAAGCAAGTATGCCTTAGGAATTGTCAAAAAAAACTATTTTTTTCAGTGTTTTGTGCCTTTTATATAGCAAATACAACAAATTATTAAAAAAAGTTGTTTAGAATCAACATCTAGCCCTCTGTACTAAATTTCAAAATCATAGTTTTTCATTTTTTTAACAAATTTTTATTAACAAATACGTCAAAAAGCTAGTAGTATGTATTAGATCTAACTAAATCTATTTTTTATTCGTAATAAAAGACCTGTTAAAAATAAAATTCTTTGATTTGTGAAATAATGAACATAACAAAAATAAAAAATCATAGTTGGCCGATGATTTTGAAATTTGGTACAAAGGTCTAGATGTTGATTTTAAACAACTTTTCTTAATAACTTTTTGTCGTATTTGTCACACAAAAGGCACTTTACTCTAGAGTAAAACAAGTTTTTGAAAATTTTCAAGGCTTTCTTGATTTTTCAAAACTAAAACTATGTTAGAAATTAGCTTTAACAAAGCAGGACTAAACCCCAAAAAATCAAAATTAAATTCGGAAGTTTTTTATCTATTAGGTTCAAAAGTCGTTTCATTTATCCACAAATTTTTTTACAAATTTTCAAAAAAAAACAATTTTTTTTGCAATGTTTTCGATTTTTTTTCCAATATAACTAGTAACTACTAATGCAAAATTGTAAAAAAGTTATTAACAAAAGTTGTTTACAATCAATATATTCCAAATTTGAAAATCATCCGCCAACTATGATTTTTCATTTTTTTTTCCAAGGTAATTGCTTTTTATTAACAAATACTTACGTCAAAAAGATATTTAGTACTAATAATCTAAATATATTTTTTATTTCGTAATAAAAAAACTGTTAAAAATATAAATATAACAAAAATAAACATAACAAAAATGAAAAATCATAGTTTTCCAATGATTTTGAAATTTGGTACAGAGGTCTAGATGTTAATTCTAAACAACTTTTCTTTATAACCTTTTGTCGTATTTGTCTTTTTCTTTCACTTTATAATAAAATAAGTTTTTGAAAATTTTCAAAGCTTACTTGATTTTTCAAAACTAAAATTATGTTAACCAAGCAGTACTGAACCCTAAAAAATAAAAATTTAAATCGAGATTTTTTTATTTATTAGGTACAAAAGTCGTTTCATTCATCCAGGAATTTTTTACAAATTTTGATAAAAACATTTTTTCGGACTCTTCGATTTTTTTCCAAATTAACAAGTAACTACTAATGCAAAGTTTTAGAAAATGTTTTTTTTTCCTTTTGTAGCATTTTTTGTATAAAAAATCCTGGAAACATTAATTTCTCAGATTTACTTGAACAACAAAAAAAAGTTTCTTTTTTCTCTTTTCTCTGAATCAATATTGAGAAAAAATAAATTTTTCAAAAAATTGCTAAAGATCGTGTATGAAATTTATTCCAGTTTTTAGAACTTGCCTTAGATTATCTTCTTTTTCATTAAAAGTCAGAATCTCAACGATAAATTGACGTAAAAAATATAAAAAAGCAAGTTGAAACATTGATTTAAGTAAAAAAATCAAGTCTATAAACTAAAACCAAAGAAAAATCCATTTTTTTCTCTCGTTTTTTATTAGAATTGCGTGATAACCGTAGCTCAGAAAATTTGTCAAAATATCTGAAAACTAGAGACTTGAAGCTTCAAAATCTTTTTTTTAATAAAATACATCCTTCCAAAAATCAATTTTTTGTTCCCTTAATTCGAGTTTTTTGATTCTTTTCCATTAAAAATACTATTTTTGACATTTCTTGAATTACTTTCCCTTGTCCTGGTTCCATTTCATCATTCAAAATTGTTCACTTTAGTTAAACATGATAAAAGTTTGATAGCAATACTGACCCAATAGCAGATGTGTTAGGAGGAAGCCGGAAAAGTGGTTGGTCTGGATGAGAAGCGGAAGTCCATCCTGGGAAGTCCTATCCCCGTAGTTTAAAATCCCCGCATTATTAACTAAAATATCAAGACGATTTTCGGTCTCGTTGATTTCTTTAGCGAAGGCTCGAACCGAGTCAAATGAGGCCATATCGACGATTTTGACCACAATATTTTCATTTCCGGTCTCGGAAATGATTTTCAAACGGGCTTCTTCCGCTTTGGATTTATTGCGACAAGCTAAAATGACTCGAGCGCCTCTTTTGGCGAAATCAAGAGCTGTCTCATAACCAATACCTAATTTCGAGAAATCAATAAATGAACCAAAAATTTTGCCGACTTACCGGTGTTTGCGCCCGTTATTAAGGCAGTTCTGCCAACCAAACAAGTCTGACTTTTGCACCAACCTGTGGTTAGTTTGAAATAAATTTTTGCAATTGCGAAAATTGCTAAAATTGCGAAAATGAGAGTACACAGCACCATTTTGGACGAAAACTGAGTCGCAAATGATTTTTTCAAGTCATTGGGACACAAATTCGCGCACTCATCGCAGATAACACGCGAGAAAGCTAATAATTATCTATTTAACACTTATGTAATCATGGCCGAGTTATACATAGGCTGCGCGCGCTTGTAGGCTCTCTTGTAGTGCATACAATTTTTTTTTTTCTCAACTACTTATGTACAAACCACTTTATTAGTATGTTAGTCAAGTGACCTTTAGCATCACTAATACATTTATTGTCTACTTATTCTAGTATTTCCAGTTATTAACCACAAAAACTTGAACTTTGAACTATTCCTTTTATTATAAATTTTTAATTATAATGACTTTTTTTAAGCCCATCATTATACCAGGCGAATAAAAAGTATGGAATCAAACGTTTTTTTTTTTGGAAAAACTAATTGATGAATGGTAATGTACTATAAAAATCAAATAAAAAAATAAAAATCAATAAATTAAGTTTCAATTTCAAAGTTTAATCGTATTTTTATGTTTTTCCAATTATTTTTTTTAATACAAATGCATCGAGATTCTAAGTTTTTCAAAAAAAATCTAATTTGAAATTTTGACTTGCATTTTTTTACCATTTTTCTCATTTTGAAACAAGAATTACGCATTTCTCAAAATTCTTTTTTCGCATTTTACTTCAAATTATCTTACAAAAAAATGTATCAAGAATAAAATTTTTGGAATTTATTTTTGAGTTCTACAAAAATGGCAACCCACTATAAAACCATTTTTCTCATAAAGCTTATGATATAAGAATTACAACTATTTACTTTATATTTAATTTTTTCAATTTTTTTTCCATAAATTGCAATTTTGACAAATAAAATCAAATAAGTCAAAAACAAAACAAAATTTCGTTCTCAAAATACGATCAGATTTTGTATCTTACTTTATTATTTATATTAATATATTATTTATATTAATTATTGCTTTCTGAAGGCAAATGATTAAAAAAACCGCTTGGTTCCATACTTTATATTCACCCTGTATATTCTTTACAAAATCAATAAATTGAGTTTCAATTCCAAAGTTTAACCATATTTTTATATTTTTCCTATAACTATAATGAACTTTTTAAAAACATTATTAGTATAATTATATAATCATGACGTAAATGTTTATTTCAATTTTAAAAAGTAGATTTTTATAAACATCACCAAAAAAAAATTTCAATTATTACATGGCCAAAAATTACTATTAAGTTTTTTTTAATACAATGTAATGTATCAAGATTCTAAGTTTTTCTAAAAAATCTAATTTGAAAAAAATGATTTGAAATTTTGACTTGCATTTTTTTACCATTTTTCTCATTTTGAAACAAGAATTACGCATTTCTCACTTTTTCACAATTCTTTTTTCGCATTTTTCTTCAAATTATGTTACAAAAATTTGCTTGCAACTGACGTCTATATTTGAATTTTTAGTTTATAAGACACACCATCGGACTTTTTGTTTTCAATAATCCTTTTTTTATTCTAAAAAATATTCTTTATCTTCTTCCTAAAAATTTCGACACTACGCGTATTTTCTTTAACGTTTTCCAATTCTTATTCTTTCCCGTAACTTTTTTTGGCAAACTGATAAAATGACAATTTTTATGCCGCCAGTAGTAAAACATTGTATTCAAAAAAACTACCTAAGTAACTTAACGTCACAACAGTTATTTTAATTTTTTTTTATTTAACAAATAAATATAATTTACTCACAATTTACTTATTGTTGGTAAAACCGACCTTTAAACATAGAAATATAAGTTTATCTCAGGCTAGGAATAGGTATATTACCTACCTAATAATGAAATAGTATATCACAAGCAAGCAGGGAAATATTTTATTATCCCGAAGTTTCAAGTTAGCTGACCGAAAAGCAGATAACAATTCTCATCAATGATTGTATTATGCTTTTTTATTCAGTCACATTTTATTTAACAATAGTAAATATTTAACAATAATAAAATATTAATTTATCCAAGGTTAAAAGATTTGTCTACGTTGGTAACATAATTTTAATTTGTATTTTTTTTGTAATTTCTTTTTTAATTAACAATGAACTAATTTTGTTACTTTCAAATAATTATTATAGCTTAGTTTTGTATATTTATGAAAAGTTTCTTTTATTTTCTAGTGTTTTTTGGTTGATTAATTCTCTTTCTTTAAAATGTCATTTCACATGACTAAACTTTTCAGTTTTAATAGGGGCGAGTAGGGTTATTGTGGCCACTTTTGTGTAATTCACCCACTCTCCTCTCATGTTAAAATAGTTTATTATAAACAGAGACATATTTTATTATTCCAAGAGCTCAAGTTTTCCGACCCAGAAGCAAATATTGAAATTCTAACCGATTTTATTCACAATCACATTTTATTAACGGTTACATATTTATTATTATTGCTATTCATTATTTAGCGTTAGGATTTATTATTTGTCAGTTACTAATTATTACGTTTTACCATTTTCTAGAACTTTTCCTGACTCATTGGTTCTTGTTAACTCGTTACCCAACTTTTGTAATTCTCTTTGTATGTACCTTGGTAACAATTAGTCATCTAAGGCGATATATTTTTTGTCAATGATGATTCGTACAACTTCTTACACAACATTTGATTTTGTACTCATCGGATGTACAAACAATAAAATTTTACACAAGATATTGTTTTATTTATCAAATCCGGAACATGACACAATAAAATATTACAGGCAAAATTGTGAAAAAAGTAGATTTTTGCAAGTTTGTAAACATGACTAGTCAAACTAGTTTGTAGTTTTTGCTTTTTTCAAATAATTATAACTTTGTTTTTTACTTATAAGATTGTTTTGTGTTTTAGTCAATTAATTCGTTTTCACAGGTTTAAACTTTTCAGTTTTTATAATATACACAAATATTGAAAACAAATAAAATTGTTAAACATTCTATTTACCATTTTTTTAAGAATGATAAATCATTTCTTTTTAAAACTTCTTATTTTTACATTCATTTTATGTAACAATGCCATCTGCTGGTGGCGCACCCGCTTAAAAACTCCCTCCCCGTTGCCATAACAAAGTCAAAATTCCCGTTTCCCTCCGGTCAAAATGTCCGAATTCGACATAATTTTCGACAGTTCGGCGCAAAATTTAAAAGAGGTGCCGTCAAAAATCCTCCAAATGCACCACTTGAAAATGTTATACTTGCACCAGAACTTCCTCAAAGAGTTACCCCAGGACTTCTTCCTCAAACTACCCCAATTGGCATGGCTCGATTTGCGCCACAACCATTTGACCACAATCCCGCCCACCATCGCCCACCACCAACACCTCGAAAACCTGCTCCTCTCCGACAACAAAATCGAGGTATTGCCCAACGAGCTGGGCCTCGTGCCCAACCTGAAAGTCCTGCAGGTGGCCAACAACCCCCTGGCGTACCCCAACGCTCGGGTGGTGGCCGAGGGCACGAGGGGGATCGTGGGGTACCTGCGGCGCCAATACGAGAAGATCGCGCAGCCCCCGAGCGAGGAGGAGATCCGGCTGGAGGACTACTCCCAGGTGTTCCCCATGGAGGAGTCCAGGATCGTGCACAAAATCAGTGATTCCCGGGACACAATCCTCCTCAAGTCCTTCTACGAGGCCAAAGCCTCCCAAACCGGCGACTCCATCACCTTCATCCCCCCGCTGCGCCACTCCTGGATGGACAAACTCAAACGGCTGTTGGAGGAGCAGGAGAGGATCCTCCAACAGGAGCGGTTAAACCGGTTGAGGGCGATCCTTCAAGTGATTAAAACCGATATTTGTAGGAATCTGCAAGCGTTGACGTCGTGGAGGTACCAGAAGAAAACCGAACCGAAGCGGATTTCGCACCAGGAGTACCAAACCAAAGCCCCCTACGCGACGCAAGACATGGAGCGCGAGATCGATCGAATGATCCAAAAGAACAAAAAACCAAAAAAGGAGGACGTTGATAAGCTGATAAGCGACCTCGTCGGCCAATTGAAAGACATGGAGGCGAGTTATGCCGGCTCCAAGTCGCCTCGGAGCGAAATCGAGACGGCTGGAACCCAAATCAAGAAGGTAAATGAAATTTCTATTTGAAAGGTTTGCGACTTGGCTATTGCAGATCATGTCCATGCAGAAGAAACTGCTCCAGCTGCAAGAAACCAACGATTTAATGTTACAATAATTCTTATACACAGTTAAATACGTAATTACAATATTTAGATGTAAAATAATAAGAGTAATTATAGTACAAAATCACAAGGTTAATTTGAAGATCTATCAAAATTGTAACAAATCAGTCAAGTGTTATTTTTACAATTTGTGCATTTAGAAGGTACGTCCCATCACGATTTTGCCTTTAATCGCCTCGTGTGTGTTCTCCACAAAGCCTAATTTCCCGTAAAACGCATGCGTGTAGCTGTCACTCGCGTTCATAACCACGTGAACACCGAACGAACCTGAAACGACCAATTAGAACAGTCACGTGATAACGACACGCCTCACCATTGGCCCGCAATGCCGCCAAGAGACACGTGACTAGTCGCTTGCTCACTGATTGGTCCAACACCGACGGAAGAATACTACAAATCATAATGGAAGGATGAGTGGGACTTGAGACGTAAATCTCGTCCTTGAAACCATGGAAATACGATATGCTCTCCTGGAAAACAAATTTAATCCTAGTTTGATAATAAACTAAGCCTACTTGTGCAAACTTTGATAAGTCTTTATTGATGAGTGAGAGGGGGTATTTGTCGCACATTTCCGGGATCCAGGCTAACTCCATCTTGACCCGGAATTTTTTATAGTCCGGAGCGGCGCACGCGAAGCCGACAATCCCCGCGTCGTCCTCAACGACGAAGCAAAACTCCGGGTGGAGTGTGAGATAAGGGCCGACGATCCGGTCGGCTTGGAGCCCTTTGAGGTCCTCGGGGTAGGGTTGGGGGTCCTCGAGACCGTCCTTGCACGTCCTCGTACACACACTGTAGACCATTTGCTCATCGGTCGGTAAAAAAGGTCGCACAGTGAAGACTCGACAAGTCGGTACGTCAGGTACCTTGTACACGAAGAGGTCATTCCCCGAGTCCACCGGAATCAACCGCTACAAAAATTTGAATCAATAGAAATTCGAGACAATTTTCACATGAACTAAACAACGCAGGCCGGGAAAAACTCTGAAAATCGCAAAAATTACCTGAAGATCAGCTGTCAAGCCTCCACGGAAAACCCACGGCTCCTGATCGCCGCTCATAAAAGTCTCCTTCCAGCCTTTGGAAAACCCTAACGGAAAACCTCATCAGACTTTTCTTCAGACAAGAGACAATCCGCACAGTGTTGCCAAATCACAAAAAAATCGCCAGATCCGAGTTGAAAAACTTGGCAAATTTGTGTCAAATTTTTGTAAAAATATCATATAATCTTTTTTATGACAATGATTTAACCGCAAAAAACGTCCATAACACAAAAATATCATTTTCTGTAATTTTTCAGCTTATTTTTTCTCAAAAACGTGTTTAAACACTCAAAAAAAGCAAAAATAACACATTTTTTGTCAAATCTTGTTAAAAAAAATTGCGAAATCACTGCGTTTCTATCTGAAAAACGTGCTAAACCCTCAAGTTGACTTCTTGGCTAGTGTTAAAAAAATTCGCAAAAACCTTGAGATTTTACAAAAACGTACGACCAAATTTTGTGTTTTTTGACTTATTTTTGCCTTCATTTTGCTCAAAAAGCAGTTAAATCGAATAAAACTAACAAAATAACATCAATTTCGATATATTTTTGTGATTATTTTAAGCGTGTAAGATTTTGTAGTCTCAAATTCAAAAACAAGCTAAAAAACAATATCAATTTCGATTTAATTTCCTATTTTTTTACCATGTTTAAACGAACCTTTTTTAATTTTTTTTTTCTCAAAAACGTACTTACTCAAACATTCGAAAAAGACAAAAATAACACATTTTTGTCCGAATTTGTTAATAATTTTGCAAACAATTGCGTTTCTAGCTGAAAACGTGCTAAAACGCCCGAGAAATACAATTTTTGCCTTAATTTTTGATTTTTGATTTGTTTTAGCGAAATCTCCCAAAAAATCATACATTTTAACGTGTTTAAAAGCATTTTCGACCAAATTTTTTTGGTTTCTCGACTTATTTTTGACTTAATTTTGCTCAAAAACCAGTTAAATCGAGTGTGGAAATAAAACAAAAAGACAAAATAAAATAAACAAAAAAAATGTGTGGAACATTTTGTATAAATTTCGTTTTTAAAGTTAAAAAAACGCCAAAATAACAAATGACCAAAAAATTTGTCGTGTTATACAGGGCGTGTAATTAATACGACTTCGAAAATACTGACTACTATTGAAATTCAAATTTAATTTTCTGCTTGGTTCCATAGTTGTCAAAACTGAATCGAATAAAATTTTTAACTATACAGAGTGTTCCTTTATTACATAACTGTACTCAATTTTTTTTTCAAGCAACGACCTACATTTTTTGTTTTCTTTTTTGATATAATAAATGATGCAAAACTGCTTTGTTTTTACATTTCGGTTGCGGCGTTCCCAAGTTACACATGTTTGCGAAATATATACAGGGTGTTTAAATTATATGTTTACTACTTCACATAATATTACAATTTTGGAATATTTCAATTACCCCTCAAAAAATTAAACTCTGTTTTCCTTTTAATAACTTTTAATTTTTGATTATTTTTTGCTTTTATTTAGAATTTGTTTTTACCTTTATGTTTAAAGAAATTACTTCTATTATTAATGACAGCGTTATTATTATTAAGCAGTCAAATTTTAGATGGGACACTTAATAAAAGTAGGAAGAACTATATGTTTATTTTAATATTTTCTATTTTGTGTCAAAATCTCGTTAAAAAATTAAAGTTATTGTGGTCTATGTGTTAAATTTTTGGCTTGTTTTAAACGAAATTTTGTGAAATAATTGTGTTTCTAGCATTCTAAAAAGGGAAAAAGATAAAATGCCATTTTGGGCTTTGTTTAGTAAAATCTCGTAAAAAACAAATCCAATTATTTTTAACCAATTTGGTGGTTTTTAGATTTTTTGAAAAAATTTGGCGAAAAAATCAAGTCTAGTTGAAAAACGTGGAAAATACTCGAAAAAATTATTGGTAGAAAAATTAGTGTATTCATTTCTTGTAACCGCAGAATTATAACAAAAAAAATCACCCGATATTAGAATTTTCACACAAGTTTTCACCAAATCACCAAATCTGGTGATATTTCCCCAGACGTGGCAACACTGAATCCGCCAACGCTTACGCTATTACGCTTAGTCGACGCATGCGCGATGTTAATGTTACGCAATGCATGGCAACGTTATACAGAGTGAGTCAAGTTTTATGAATTTTTCAATAAAGTTAAAATTTGAGTCACCCTGTAGATTGACTACTAATCGATGCATACATGTGTAGGTCCCCTGGGTGTATGAGGGCATAGAAGCAGGAAACTGGCCGCCAGCTTAACAAAACAAAGAAATTAATAACTGGAAACAACCGGAAATCATCTGAAAAACACACAAAAATGCAGTAAACGATTACTTTCCGCACTATTTTTACGCCCTAAAAACTCGACGACCACCTGTGAAATATACAATTTACGCCAGCGATGATATGAAAAAAAATTACGCTTCGCGCCATCTGATCGGAAAGTAATCGATTACGCAACCACCAAACACACACTTGCAACTTACCCAACCATTTCACATAAGAATTGAGCAAAGAAATTACACCTCTGATATCCCACACATAGGAATATAAATCGTACAAAATCTCGCGATTATTGCAACTGGATAAGTGTTGAAATAACCGATTTACGGCTTGGGTCATTTCATTCATTTTTTCAGCACGAGAAAACCACTCCTGCACCTTGAAATAACCAATCAAATTTTTAAAATCGTATCAAAGGGCGGGCTTACTTCAGATTTTGATGTATCCTTCTTCTGATTGGCTGCCATCACGACGTGAGCGTTCGATTTCAACCAATTAAATTCTTGCAACAGTTGCAAGCCCTGCCCACCATGTTCAAACGGTAAATAGAACAAATCGCAAAGGAGGGATAAATCCTCAAATGTCAAATCGTTTTCTTTCCTTCCTTCCGTTTCCGGTTCAACTACCATTTGATTTACACCGTCATTTGTTTCCACTTGCATACTCCCACTTGACGTCTACAAACAAACAATTGAAAACAGTGTCGAAAACTGGTTTTTTTAGTACCGAAGTTTCGCTCATAGCGACATCTTCCGGCGGTTTAGCGACATGCGCCGGTGAAATGTTCGGTGTACTGTTACAATCCATTGGTTCGCTCGGACTTAAACTTGATTCATTACTCAAATCCGTACTTGTGTCTGTGTTCATACAGGTTTCTTCTTTACCGACTTCTTTCTCTTCGGGTTTGTCACCGTTTACCACTTTCAACTTGTCTTTGTCGGGCTTGATTAGAGTTCCGCTCAACACAGTGATGCTTTTCGTTTCGGGATCGGAGATAGGGATTGGGATCGGGACGGGAGCGATAGGATTAGGGATTGAATCATTGCATACCACTTTTGTGTCGGAGACGAGGGAATTCATCACGGGACCGGGAACGGGGTTCACCATACTGTCGCTGACGGTGACCTGGAAATGCAAAAAAAATAAAAAATGAAAAAAAAAACACGAAAATAAAAAAATTAACAAAAAATCTAAGAAAAAAATTAGTTTTCTGCTTAAAAATCTCTCCATGAAACAAAAATATCAGTATCGGCCTGATTCTGTGGTTTTTTACTTGTTTTTGCGAAATAATTGCTGAAAAACGTGCTTTGTTGACTTTTTGGTTTGTTTTAACGAAATCGCGCGAAAACTATGATATTTTACATACAAAAACATGTTTAAAAGCATTTTCGACTAAATTTTGTGTTTTCTCGGCTTATTTTTGTCTTAATTTTTCTCAAAAAGTAGTTAAATCGAGTGAAACAAACACAATAAGATCTATTTCGATTTATTTTTGTAATTTTTAAGCTTGTTTGGACAAGATTTTGCAAAACAAATGAGTTTCATGTTCAAAAAATAGGAAGGCGAGCGAAACAAGTTAAAACATAATTTCAATTCCGATTTAATTTAGTAATTTTTTATTGCGTTAAAAGAAAATTTTTCGAAATTTTTTTGTTTTTACCTCAAAAACGTGCTTAAACACTCGAAAAAGGCAAAAATAACACAATTTTTGTTCTGTTTTGTTAAACTTTTGGCTTGTTTTTAACGAAATTTTGCGAGTTAACTGCGTTTCTAGCTAAAACGCTCGAGAAATACGAAAATAATAGAATTTTTGACTTGATTTGTAGACTTTTTGGTTTGTTTCAGTTTGTTTTAGCGAAATCTCTCGAAAAACCTGAGATTTTAGTGCAAAAACGCGTTTGAAAGTGTTTTCGGCCTAATTCTGTGGTTTTTCGGCTTGTTTTTGCGAAATAATTGCTGAAAAACGTGCTAAAACGCTCGAGAAATGCAAAAATAAAATCATTATTGACTTAATTTGTTGACTTTTTGGTTTATTTTAGCGAAATCTCGCGAAAACCCTGAGATTTTACAAAAACGTGTTAAAAGTATTTTCCACCAAATTTTGTGTTTTCTCGGCTTATTTTTGTCTTAATTTTTCTCAAAAACTAGTTAAATCGAGTAAACAAACACAATGCCATCTATTTCGTTTTGTTTTAGTGATTTTTAAGCGTGTTTGGACAAGATTTTGCAAAATAAATGAGTTTCTGGTTCAAACAATAGGAAGTCGAGCGAAACAAATTAAAAAATAATTTCAATTGCTTTTTTGCGCAATTTCACCCATTTTCAGCAGAAACGCGAAATTTCATCGAAATTAATCCGAAAAATTATTAAATGAGGTTAAAATGACATAATTTTTTAACGTTTTTGAGAGTTTAGAACGTTTTTCGGTCAAAAACGCCAATATTTCAAGGAATTTTTTCAAACAATACTAAAAAATTATCAAATTTGGTCAAAATTTGTGTTATTTTAGACCTTTTTGAAACGTTGTGAAAGTTTTTGAGAAAAAAAAAACAAGCAAAAATTTACTAAAAAAACTCATTTTTTAAACGATTTTGCTGAAAAATCATTAAATTAGTTCAGAAACACAACTTTATTTTTTTTACGTCAAAAATACCAGGAATTCTTTAAAAATAGAAACAACAAAATGTGGACAAAAATGATACCTTTGCGGTTTTTTTGGTCAAATTAACCCGTTTTTAGAAAAAAACATAATTATTTTACGAAAATTTTTCTATAAATTAGGTACTAAATTAGATTGAAAGTGACTAATTTTTTGTATTTTTCAAAAGTTATAGCATATTTTTTGGTCAAAAATTCTTGAAAGATAAGCTGAAAAATCACCAAATTTGGTTGAAATTAGAGTTATTTTAACTTTTTTTGAGTATTTGAGGAAGTTTTTGCGATAAAAACTCGTGACATTTCGCTAAAAAATAATAAACAGTTTAGTTAATAGTTTAATTAGTCATTTAGTTTTATTTAGTAATTTTTTTACCCTATTAAAACAAAAGATTTCGACTTTTTTTGTGTAGAAAAAAATAAATATAGAAAACAAAATAACAAATAAAAAAATAAACAAATGAAAAAAAAATTGTCGCGTTATACAGGGTGTGGCAATAATACGACTTCGAAAATACTGATTCTAAACTGAAAATACATTTAATTTTTTGTTTGGTTACTTAGTTTAGTTTAACTATACAGGGTGATCCATTATTTGTAAACCGTACCCAACTTTTTTTTTAATAACCTAAATTTTTTTCTGTATTCTTTTTTTCTGCAAAACCATGTTTATAGAATTCGGTTGCGGCGTTCACAAATTACACATTTACAAATATACAGGGTGTCCGAGAAAAACATTAAAAGATTTCATGTAGTGGTTCCTCAGGTGAAAATAAGAAAAAAATTTCCTATAGACTTATGTCCGAAAATGCTTCCTGAGCAAGCTAGAATCCCCTGAAGATGGCGGGCAAACATACTTTTTTTTCAATTATATCAGTAATCAGTAGACATAAAGTAACAAGTTTGCAAAATTGTGTAGCCTAATTTTTGTACGACGCACCATTTTCGTGAAAAATAAAAAGCATATAGGGTCAAGTAACTGTAACTCCCTTAGGAAGCATTTCCGGATATGGGTTCAAAGGAACTTTTTTCCTTATTTTGACCTAAACAATCACCCCACGAAATATTTTAACATTTTTTTTCGGACACCTTGTATAGTTAACATGGCCTACTTACACTACTGCACACTTCCGCCAACGCTTGCAGTTGATTTTGGTTGACAACTGGTTGCGAGTTGCCGGTGGTGGTAGTGGTGGTGGTCGTAGAGGTCAAGGTCATGCAGGTGTTGATGGAGGGGATAATGGGCACGGGGATGACGGCCACCGCCGGCTGGGGCTTAACAATCGGCCCCCAGGCCGTCTTGTGTTTGGAAAATTCGGGTAACCACTCGTTGATTGCATTGCGGAGGGCTTGTCGGGGGTGGTACATATTGGGGGACAGGGAGGCGGGGACGTCTTCACCTAGACCGTCCTCAGTTTCAGTCTCAAGTTTAATATCGGCGGAAACCGTGTCATCTGAAAAAAATCAAGTTGCTTTGGGGGAAAAACAAAAAATTCTCATAGCCGACTTAAAGTGAGATCTCGCTGGCCGTCCACGTTACAGCGCGACCATTGGGCCAAAGTGTGGATTGCCACGAAGTTTGCGCCGTATTCGCAATTGGGGTTGGTCAAAACCCCGCGCAATTTTGGGATCAAGTCGGGGGAACGGCCCGAGTAGGGCCCCAAAAAGACACGTTTCTGGTCGTAGTCGTTGGCGTGGAGGTTGTCCCAAATCACGGGGGGGCGACGCAGTGCGTCGGTGATCTCCTGGATGTTCTCCTTTGTCAAAATGCGCGAAATCACCTTCTGACCTGAAAAAATTGCACTTTATTTCTGAACAAAGTGGCCTATTTTGAAATTAAGTTGGCAACATTAACTGTCAAATTCAAATGCAGTGTTGCCAGGTGTGAAATTTCACCACATCTGGTGATTAAGAGACAACTTTTTGATGATTTTTAAAAACTTAACTCCAGTTACAGCAGAAAATTAATAAATCAATTTTTTTGCACAAACGTAAAGGAACAAACTTCGATTTTTTTATTACTGATAGAAAAAATTATGTCAAAAATACCTAATGACAGTAATGATACTACATTTCTTAGAATTTTTTGAGCATTTTGCATGTTTTTTAGCCAGAAATTCAATTATTTTGACAAACTTTCTCAAAAATAAGTCAAATTAGTTAAGAAAGTAGTTTTATTTGTTTTTTAAGTGTTTTCACCCAACAGAGTCAGAAAATCACTAAACTGGATCAAAAAATACATTACTTTGGTCTTTTTCGGAGCGTTTTAGTAAGTTTTTTAGATAGAAACTAAAATATTTTGCAAAACTTCGTTAAAAACAAACTAAAAATTTACAAATGAAGACAAAAATTATTGTGTTATTTGTCATTTTTTGAGTATTTTAACGTGTTTTTGAAATAAATTCAGTTTTTTTAATAAATTAGATTAAAGTTTGTATTATTTTAGCTTGTTTCGTTCGATTTAGTTGGTTTTTCAACCAGCGACTCATTTATTTTACAAAATCTTGTCAAAACATGTCTAAAAAGTACAAAAATCTATCTAAATTGAAATTATTTCGTTTGTTTTATAAAATTTAGCTCGTTTTTAAGTAAAATTTTACACAAAATAAGCCGAAAAACATAAAATTTGGTTGAAAATGGTGTTACTTTAGCTTTTTCAAGTTTTTAAGCAGGTCAAATCAGGTCAGGTCAACTAAAATCTCAACTTTTTGCGACATTTTGCTAAAACAAACCAAAAAAACACACAATCAAGTCTTATTTTTGGCTTTTTCAAGTCTTTTAGCATGTTTTTCTGGTACAAATGTAAAAATTTCGCAAAACTTATAATATTGGACCAAAAATAATGTTATTTTTACCTTTTTCTAAGCGTTTTATACGTTTTTTTAAGCCACAAACAGATTTATTTTGCAAAATTTTGTTAAAAACAAACTAAAAAATTCATCACATTAGGCCAAAAACTGTTATTTTGCTAAAATTAAAAAAACTACAAAAATTAAGTCATTTTTCAAGTCTTTTAGTATATTTTTCAGGTAAAAATATAAATATTACGTAAAATTTTCATAAAAACAAGCCAAAAAACTACACAATTAGACCGAAAATATTGTCATTTTTGCAAATTTTGGAGCGTTTTAATATGTTTTTTAAGGCAAATACAAAAAAATTAACGCAAAATTTAGCAAATTAAGCCAAAAATCGTGTCATTTTTTGCACTTTTAAAGTTTTTAAGCACATTTTTGAAACAAATACAAAGTTTTTGCAAAAAATTTTACTATAAAACTGGCCCAAAAATTACCAAATTGGATTGAAATTGATATTATTTCAGTTTGTTTTGTTCGATTTAGTTCATTTTTGAACCAGAGCTTCATTTATTTTGCAAAAATATGCCTAACAATTACAAAACTACACTCAAATTGATATTATTTCGTTTGTTTTACTCGATCTGTTTTTAAGAAAATTTTTTTCAAAATATAAGCCATAAAACACACACTTTGGTCGCAAAAAATGGTATTATTTTATTCCTTTCAAGTTATTAAATTTTTAAAGTTTTTAAATAAAAAACAAAAACAACATCAACATCAAGCATTATTTTTGCCCTTTTCAACTCTTTTAGCACGTTTTTCAGCTAAAAATGTAAACATTTCGCATTTTTGCGAGATTTACGTAAAAAAACGTAAACGTTCCATTGTATTAGAAAAATTTAAATCATAATCTTGTAGCTCCCATCTGGTGAATTTAATTTTTTTGGTCTGGCAACATGT